GAGTTCTTAACCATCGCGCCACTTGGCCGGCCCCGCATGTGACTTTCTAAAGTTACCCAAAAAACATATGAAAATGCAACCAGTTTGCAGCCCAGGTCTCCGGGGTGACCTGTGGGCCAGCAAAGGGCATGAGGTGAGGCCCACAGTCCAGGAACCACCCCTCCCACATTACTCAGTCGGGGGGGGGGGGGGGGGGGGGGCAGGGGGAGGTCCAGCCCCCGCCTCCGGCCACCAGGACCACAGCAGGGACAGGGGCCTGTCCTGCAGGCTCTCTTCTGAGCAAAGCCTGGTGTGGGGCAGACACCGTGGCCGCACAAGCACGTGTTCACGGCCCCGAAGTCCCTTGAGTCTGGTGTGCACGGTGGGTCGGTCTGAAGGGCGTGCGTACACCGTACCCAGCCGACTTTCTTTCTGCCATGTTTTCTGACTGTAAGTACAATAACCACACAGTCAGTTTTCATGCATATCGGTAGGCTGTGGGTTTCTGGGAGTGGTGGCAGGCACGGCAGTAGCCGATAGAGACTGTTTAGCGAGCCTCCGTGTGCGACACTTCCTGGGCCGTGGTGGCCCAGTCCTGGCTCCGGCTGCCCACACAGCCTCCTGAGCCTGGCCCCACGGCTCACAGTAGGTCTGGACCCCCTTTCCTGGGAGTCGCGCTCATCTGTGAACACAGGCGGCGTCCTCCCCAGGCTAGGAGCTGGCGGCACAGAAGAGCTCGGAAAGGGGCAAGGGCCTTTCTCGTTTCCCTTTGTCTTTTTTTGTGTATTTTTGTGCATATATAACACTATTTCTGCATGAACTGTTTTCAAAAGAGAATGCCAAAATAAGTTCTAGAGGTTTCCAGATTTGTAGGCAGAATAAGTAAGAACTCAGTTTGGTTTTCAATCATGTTCGAATTATTTGCATATGTGCAGCTTAGTTTCATTTAGTCACTGAATTCTAGCCATCCCTAGACAAATGGACCAATGAAACTCAAATTTCAAGTTTAAATAGATTCATACGCACACACGCATAATTTAACGCCATAGATGAATTCTTGGCGAATACTTTCCTTATGTCCGTTACCCAAACACATTTGGGGACACCGCCATCCCTCACTGCTGTCACAAGCCATGAGACTAAGTGACATTCAGGATAACCATGCAGCTTCCCAGTGAAGGAAGTACTGGGGGTACCCCAATGTTACAGTGAGCCCCCCACAGCTGAAATCATCCTTGGTGCTCTCGGCTGCCTGGCTTACCCAGTGAGAATCGTTCTATTTAAATAATTATTTGGTGATTCAAGACCTCAGAGAACGCTGCCAACAGCAAGCCAGTCTTGCTTCTGTAAACTGATGCCGGATCTGGGCTTAAAAGCACCCCAGCTCTTCCCCTGGAAGTCACTTTTCCGAATAAATCTCTCATTTCTGCTTGTTTCCCCATCATTTCTCATCTCTTCACACACTTACAAGCGGGAAAAGGTCAGGTCTTGTATCTCGGGGCCACCTGCCCCATGTGGGCTGCAGACCTGTGTCCACAGCCCAGACTGCAGCCCAGGACATGCACGTCACGACGTACACAACGACCTGAGACCACCCAGCCAGACCTGTGGGCTAAGCCTCACCTGCAGAGGCTGGCAGTATTTGCTCACACCTGGCCCGAGACAAGCGATCCTGTGTGGACACACGGCTGGGCCCACAGTCGGCCTGGCAGTCAAGCCAGCACCGCACTGCCCATGCTCCAGTTCACGGCCTTCAGGCCACAGAAATCATCAGTCGAAGAAGACGCTCTTCACTGAAAAGCCATAGGACACATGAGGCCGGACGCCTGGGGCAGGGTCCCGAGCCCCCCAGGTGTGTGCCCGGCTGACAGCAGGACTGAGGCCCTCGGGCACGGCCCCGCTGCAGCGCCTGCCTGGGTTTGTGTGGTGACGCATGAGAGCGAGGGGAGTGGTTAAGACAAAGGCAACCTCCCCACACCCAGATACTCCAGAGGATGGCCAGGTGACCCCAGCCCGTTTCCCACCAGCCCCATGCCTGGCAGTGACCATTCAGTGAGAGAACATTCTGGAAGGGCTTCTGAAACGCGTGGGGATGTTCCGAGCCTGGCATGACAGAACAGGGGTCACAGGCCAGGGAGCAGCCCTGTCTGTCACCCCAAGTTCATCCAGTGACCCTTTCAGGCCTCTGCTGCTTTGCTTTCTTTTAGCCACAGGTGCCCAGAAGGGTCTGCAAACATGACACAAAGGAGCAGAAGGGCCCTGGGCGCATAGCTGGGGTCCTAGAGTTGGCTCTGTGCCCCAGGGCTGTCCTCGAGCGGGCGGGCGGGGCAGGTGACTGCATTAAGGACCCTCAGAAAAACATGGGCTGTTTTTAGACACACGAGGTTATATTTAGAAACAAAGCACCACAGAGCCGGAGGCCAAGCCACGCCAGCCGCCTCCCAGTGATGACCAGGGGCCACTGTGGGGACGGGCGGGAGGGGCCTGCAGGTCAGAAGGCCGCGTCCTCTACACCATTTCAGCAGCTCCCACTGTCACCTGGAAAAGCCGGAGCTCACAGCCCCTCACCACTCACCAATTCTGAACAGGTGTTCTAAACAGTCAAAGTGCAGCTCCTGCCGGGGAGAATAGTCTGGAAGGCCTACCTACTCGGATCATGTTATGGCAGCCACGCCTGGCCTGCCAGACACCGTGGGGGAGTGAGGGGTGTCAAGTTCTCTCCCAGAGCAGGATGCCCGGACGCCCGGATGCCCACGTGCTTTACGTTGCTTCCCGGGGCCACTGGTTTAGGAATCGTCACTCATTTCTACAGCATCACACTGTCACCATCAGGATTTCTGCCCTCACTTCTGATGTCCACACGTACACTGAACACACGGGCCCAGCGATGGCCAGCGAAGGCCCCTCGTCCACCAGAGGCGAAAGCCCACACAACCATGAGCCGGGAAGACCCGAAGACAGCCGTGCCCTGTGTCCCTGCCTGGGCTGGACTCCGGCAGCAGCCCCCAACTGGAAGGTGACCGTGGGCAGTCTCACCCTCTCTGGCCTCCGTTTCCTCATCTGGAAAATGGAGGTCATAACAGCACCTACCTGTACAGGTGTGTTTTAAGCATTACGTGAGAAACCATGAATGCACACAGCATGGGGCCAAGACCCGGAAAACACCCCGTGAGTGCTGTCATTTTACAGGCGAGAACGGAGAGTCAGAGGGGGTCAGCACTCAGGGCCAGAAGGAGTCACAGGTCCCGCTCCACTTCACGAGGCTGGTTCCCGGGGACACGGGTGACAGTATAACCTGTGCGTATTTAGCACAGGTCTGCCTGATAGAACTGAACAGCCTCATGAGGCTGCAAAGCAGCCCAGGAGGGAGAAATCACAGCCTAGATTCCGATGTTTCTATTTCCAGGGGGTCGTCTTCACGAAGAACGGAACCTGCAGATGCTTCTGGAAGCTCAGCTACCAAAGGAAAGTAACAATAACGGAGGTGTTGGTGGTGTTTTGACAGGGGTGAAATACGTGACCACCATCCCCAGCCAGCTGTGGCTTCCAGCAAGGAAGGTGCTATGTTTCTGATCTAGGTGAGGTCCGTTTTCTATTTCAGAAGGGCAAAGAGCCGTGTTCCGGCACACCCAGGCCCAGCGTGGTACGGGGCCTCCGGGGGTCCCGGGAGAGACGAAACACCATCCTGCCGCTGCGCACAGCAGCTGGGCCCCAGACAAGAGCTGCCGAGTCCCCACGCCCTCCGGGAGCCGCTGTCTGCAGGCAGCCATCTCCCCTCCATGTCTGTGCATGTGGCAGGAGGTCCGCCCCTGCCAGGACACCACCCCTCGGCGCCCAAATGCGGGTCCCCTTCGCTCTTAACCCCAAAGCCTTTAAGCGCATGGAGGCTGTGAAGCCTGCACGGAGCCACTGTTTGCCCTCAGCTGATTTAATCGCCGTTAAGCGGATGCCAGGTAGCAAGGCACCAGGTCCCTCAGATGGACACTCGGCAGCCACATAACAGAGCAGGGAAACTGTGAAAGTGTTCGTCCCCGAGTCTGGACTTCACCTTCAGCCTCGGCTTTGGTGCAGCTCCCAGGAGCCCCTCCAACGCCGGGCCCTGGGAGCACTGAGCCTGTGACAGCGGGGCAGACGCAAGGCACGCCCCCCCGGCGCCCCCCAGGGCCGAGCTCCAGCACCCGCATCGACATCTGGTTTCCATTTCAGCCCATGTTGTCACGTCACATAACAAGCAGATAACGGGATCGCCAGACTCGCTCAGGACGCCCAGCGAAGGCCCAGGAACGCTGCTGTTTACACCAGCCCAGGAATGCTCGCCACGCCAGATTCAGGGCGGAAGCCGCACCAACGCCCCAAGCCCACTACAGCACCCAGAGCCGATGCCCTGGGCAAGAAGGCCACACCGCCTGCTCAGCGGCTTTGATCTACCAGGTCACACTCCTCCCTTCCTCGCGTGCCACCCGGAGATGTCAGCAAGGGCAGGGAGCTGGTGGCCTGCAGCTGACCTCCCGCATCTGAAAGAGGCCTCAGCCTCCAAGACGTGCAGGAAAGCGGCCACACGCTGGGCTGCAGAGGGAGCGAGTGGCAGGCCAGGAAGCCCTGCCAGCACGGACGGGGCGAGGAGGGGCAAGGCCAGCATGGCACCTTAAGGGGGCACCCCAGGCGAGTGTCCTGGGAGCTCTGGAGCCTCCTCTGGGGCAGGTGCCCCCCTTCCCTGCGACTTACTGGGGAGGCCGGGGGCACTGCTGCTAGGAGCACACGCTGACCGCACACACAGACCCGGACGCTGCAATGGCCATGGGGAGTGACCAGCTCCCTCATGCTCGTGCTCCTGAAGCTGCCCTCTGGCTGCCGACTGTATCCCCACCCACGAGGGCGCCAGGACCCTGGGGTTTCTGCAGAGTCTCCTGGAATGGCCATCAGCCTGGTCAGGAAGACTCCGGCCCCACGGTGGAGGTGCCCAGCAGACAGCCTGCCCCCTATGGGGCCTCGTGAGGGCAGACACCAACGGAACCACTAACCACAGGCAGTCTCACCCACGAGGGGGCCGGGGCAATGACGTGGCCACGGGGCGAACCGTTCTGCCCGAGGGGAAGTAGGAATTTAGAGCATTTCTTACTAATCCACAGAAGCGGCAGGGCCAACGTGATTGAAGGCCAGTGGACCTGGTGTCTGGTCTGTCCCAGGTGCGTGGCCGTTTCCTGTCCCCCCACCAGGCCTGGTCTGGGGCCTCCAGGACAATAGGCTCTCTCAAACTCAGGACTTTAGATTTCGCTGCCTTCACTGCATCGTGTCCCATGGATGATTGCTGGGGAAGAGCTATTTCAGGTGCGACTTGAACGGGGATGGGCAGCCAAGGCCCCAGACACAGAGCAAGGACCTGGACCCTGACGCCACGGAGCAGGTGAGGAAACGTGCCTGAGTACGGGGTTCCGAGGGCAGAACGGCTGGCAGGACCCCTCTGGGGTGATGGCCACACGTCGGCTAACTGCTGAGGGGCTGCTGGAAAAGGTCCCAGACATTATTATTTTCCCAGTCTGGGTTCCTTCTGTGGCCAGCTGTGCTTCCTTTTCTTACTGTGTTAATCTGGTTATAACGGGGGCTGAGGGAACAGCCCGGAAGAGCACTGTGACCCAGCGGCGGCCAGGCCAGGGCCAGTGCACGCGAAGCCGGGACCCCTGAAGAACAGCTTGCTCTAGACACACACGCGATGAGATGCCTCAGCCCGCCCCTGGGCCTGACACCTGAGTCACTGCTGCCCCACTGCAGGTCGGCCACGGCAACTGGACACAGGAAAACACACCTGCGTTTAACCTGCCTGTACCAGCATGCCTTTCACCGCTCAGTGGATGCCACAGCTGTCTGGACGGCTGGTCTTTTCAGCTGCCTGGGACTTCACGCCACACTACGCACACGTCACCGGTGGGACAGCCTATGCGGGTCCTGCTGAGGGAGCTTTCTGTCTGGGGCAGTCGGACAGAAAGAGGAAGCAAGTAAGTAAACAGACCTTCTGCCCTCACAAGCTCTGCAGGCCTGCAGGACATGGGGGCGCCTGTCTGAGCATTGGGGTCAACCTCAAACTGGGCCTGGACAAGTGGGATGGGCTGGATCCGGCCCCCGATGCGGCTAACAGGCAGCCCCGGCAGCCCGCCCAGCTCCCCTTCTCTCCCGAAGCGGCCCTCCCCGCTGGCCCGGGCGCCCCAGGTCCAGTCCACGTTAGTGGGCGGGGCCACAGGCGCACCCTTCCTTCCATCCCCGCCCACTCCAGCGTTAGCTCTGCCATCTGAATTCAGTAGAAGCCCGAGCTCCAGCTGGACAAGGACGAATGCCACAGCTGCACCTGCGCAAGCAACACGGAGGGCTGCCTGGAAAGCCCCTGGCAGCTCCCGGAAACCGGAGAGCCCCACGCCTCCTCGGAAGCCCCAGGGACAGGCGTCACCAAACACCCCAGGCTGTGGCCGCGTCTGCCTGCCCATCCGGCCCCCTCTCCCTAGGCACGGAGGCTTGAGTGCAGCAACTCCTGAGCCTACATGTCCCCAGGTCCCCAGGTCGGCCACCACAGTCGCAAGGGCTCTTCCCCGGCTCGAGCCTGCAAGAGGCCCAAGGAAGCACCGGGGGACCGCTCTACGGGCGGGCGCCGGGCACTGCCCCGGGCATCCCTCCTGAGACCAGGCTTTCTTTCCTCAGGGAAGGGGACATGGGGGGAGAGGGGCTATGTCTCCTGTAAACACAGAGAGAGAAGAAACCGATGCCTGCAACAGCCCCTCCAGTGCCCAGGGCTCGTCTGAGGGCACCGGACAAGACGCGCTGCCTGTGCCGGTGGGCCAGGCCCCCGAGGACAGCGTGCCCTGGCCCTGCTGGTACCTGACCTGCAGCGTGGTGCCCTGCCGCTGCCTCTCACCAGGAAGCCGAGCCTGACCAGGGCCACAGACAGGCCTCGGGGCCCAGGGTGAAGGTGGCAGCCACCGGTGTTGACCACCGCGTGCGCTCAGGTAGCCCCCGAGACAGAACGCACCCCTATCAGGTCACATCGCAAACCTCCCACACTCTGTGCCACAAATGCTGACGCTGTTGACCTATGTTTACAAAACCACCCAGGCCTGGCATGAACTGGCTGGCTCATACTTTTTCCCAGGCCAAGCGTGTTAGTCCATTTTACAAAGAAAAGAGTCTCACAGAGTGGGCAGCCACTCGGCAGCCTGGTGCCCAGAGCTTGGCAGCACCTGGCCCGTCCCAAGATCCCGCACTCCCGGCAGCCTTCATGGCCTGCGAGTCAAGATGACCACCGAGGCGGCGCACACCTGTGTTGTGCCGGGTCACAGTGCAGGCACTCGCCGTGCAGCACAGCTCCAGACAGCCAGTGTGGACCACGGTGGCGGACAGCATGTCACAGGCCACGCCAGCGTCCACTGCCTCCATCTGCAGACACACAACACCCCGCTTTTCCCCCTGAGCACCGCGAAATGAAAAGGCCTGAGTGTTGCCAGCAAGCTGAAAATGACAGATTCAAAATAAAGTGACACTGAGCACCGAGGACTTTGTAGGACTAGAAGCCTCTGTAATCACTTCATGGGCAAGGTGCAGAAAGGGACAAGGCAGAAAAGTCACACGCGGGGGCTGCTTCTCACAGAACAACAGGTTTCTGTTTTAAACCAATGTTTAAAAAGCATATTTTAGCTGCATTTTTACTTCCCATGCTGAGACTTTCTAACAGCCCCATAGATGAGGTCAAGGCAGTGTCTCCCCAGCGTGACACAGCAGGGGACTCGGGCCAGGGCCAGCCTTGTCCCATCATGCCCCAGTAGTTCTGGGCCTCCCACGAGAATAAAGGGCTCAGAAAGTATTAGAAGTCCCCCAGAGCCACGGTCCCATGGTTCCCTCAAGGGCTAAAGTAACGTGAGGGGGACGAGCAACAGAGAAGACTGTTCAATAAAAGTCTTAATCAAAAATCTGGTCACGAAATTCACAAACAGGTATTCTCAGCTTAGATGTGAGGGGTCTCGGCACCATCGAAAGGCACCCAGGCGCCAATGTGTCATCCCCGCTGGCCTAGTGCACGGCCCCTCGAGTGAGGGCCAAGCGGGGACACCGTCCCGGTCACAGGTTGCACAGTGGACCCGCCCGCGAGCCCCGCTGCAGAGTGGGGGGCACTGGGAGACGCTCACCAGAGCTCCAGCAACGGCTCTCTAAGTGGCCTTGGAGCCACTGCCACCTCCTCTGCCCTGGGCTCCAAGTCCATGAGGGGCCCACAAGAAGGACTGTCACACGGCTAGGAGGCCCCGCCATCCGTCCCCCAAAGAGGCAATCACGCGGCCCACCTTGCCGCCGCACACACCCCCTTTGTGGAACGCAGCCCTGCACGTACGGCTCCACCGGTGGTCGCCACGGGGCCAGAACAACACAGACACATGCACACACATGCACACACACAGGCCTTCACGTTGGGCCCTTTCTTCCTCATTATCAGAAGGAAGGACAAAGCGACACAGTAAAATCCAGGAGTAAAAACGTCTCCTCTTGTCCTCCACTCTAAGCAAACCCTCGACTCGTTTCCAGGGTTGTGGAGAGAAACGAGCCTCCGGGCTGCCCTAGAGGAAAGCCACAGGGTCCCTCTGTGTGTCCGGCTAAACAGAAACCTTCACCTTGGCCTTCTGTGACGGCAGCAGACAGCAGGTGGGACAAGGACCGTGGCGCTTGGAGGCTCTCACACTCAGCTCCACCTGCAGCACTGGCACCAGAAACGCGGTGCCACTGCTCTGCCCCGCCCGCGTGGACAGGCCCGCAGACGTGTAGGCGGGGCCTCGTCCAAGGGCGGGGCTGACACGAGCAGGTGACTTGGGCACACCAGGCCCCTTCGGGGCTTCTTCACCCACAGACTAAAGTTCTATTTCCTCCCAGTTCTCAGCTGTGAGGACAGACGCACGGATGGCCAGTGAGCGCTCCAGGGTCTCCTGTGCCCCTTGCACGGGCGGGGTATCCTGGGAAGGTGTTTCTGGGGGGCTCACTCGGCACACAGGGGTACTCGAGGGCTGGAGGCTGAAGGGGGGGGCTCAAGGTAAGAGGTCCTTTTGCTCATGAGACCATGAAGAGGGGGTGGTCGGAAGCTCTGTCCCCTTATCTCACACACACACACACACACACACACACACACACGTGACGAGCCGCAGAGGCTTCAGCTTGAATTCGTTTCACATTTTTGAATACACTCTTAATGGAAAGCAACAAAAGTACTTGACGAAGGAGCTGATGTTACCATCCTCGCGGCAGGCGGTGACTCGCGTCAGCAGGGTAAGAGTAAGGGACGTGGAGCAGAGCCCGAGAGGCCACCCACCAGGGCGTCCCGGGCAGTGCGTGACGGTCACACTGGGAGTGGTCACCCCCACCTCCCGGAAGCTAGAAGATCAGGGCCGGACCGAACAGAGCTGCGTGGCTCGGCACGGTTCGTGCTTCACACCAAGTGTGGCCGTTTAAACAAGCATTTGACGTAAAGGTTTGGGCTCTGCGGGCTATCGCGACACCGACAGATGTGGCCCGTAGCTTCCACGTCCCTCAGCAGATACGGCAGCACAGGCCAACATCCCTGAGCTCCCACACCTTCTAGGCTCCCGTCTGAAACTATGTAAAGAGTTTGTTTCTTGTGAAAACACGTGCCTTCAAAAGAAAGCCAGCGTACAGTGTTGGTGACCACGAGCAGTGAGAGAAGCCTCGGTGAGGGCAACGTGGCGGGCGAGTTCTGAAAACCATCTCCAGGAGAGCTGAGCTGGGAGGCAGGAGGCCCCTCAGAAGGCAGGACCTCGCGGGCGGGGAGGGCAGGCCTGTTCTGCTGCTGTCCCGAGGCCGCCTGCCTCTGCCACAGCACTCTGGGTCACTGCTAAAGGGCCCCGGGGCGGGGGACAGACTGGGACTGTGGCTCCCTGAGGAGGGGCGGCTGGGGAGCACCCTGGGGAAGGACGCAAGTCAGGAAAGCGGACTCCCTGGGAATCCACAACTAGAGGTCGCCTAAGGTGGTCTGGGGACAATCCAGGCGACCCCGCAACCTGAGCAACACCGAGGCGAACGCATCCTGCTGCACGTCCCGGGCAGAGACACCCAGGCACTGCTGCCCGGCACCCGACAGAAACACACACACACACTCCCTGCACGAGCACACAGCCAACCCCGAAGGACGTCCCTCAGACGTTCCCAGGGCTCAAATCACAACCAAAATCACAAAGCAGGAAACACCGGGTGGGGGGAGGTCAGGCCGGGAGGGAGATTCAGTTACAGGAAAATCCGATTTGAGCACAAGACACAGCTCCACAGCAGGCTTCAAGCAACAGACAGGGTAACCTAAGGGTCACACCGGAGCAAGCGACCACCCGGGACCGTCCCTCAGTAGCTGCACAACCCGGGTCACTTTACCTCCCTGTGCCTTAGCTTCTCATCTGCCGGAGAGTGGGGGCAACAGCCAGAACCTTCCCCAGAGGAACACGGAACGAGGAGATGAGGTTATGTTAGCTCTCATTGCCAACATCAAAAGTGGTCGGGCACACTGGAAAATGATCCAAATAGAACTTGTAAAAATGAAATCTGTAGTAATTAAAATTTAAAACCAAATGAATGAGCTAAATAATCAATTAGATAGAGCTGAAGAGAGGCTCGGTGAACAGTGAAACAGCACCAAGGAAATAGCCCAGAATGCAACACAGAAAGACAGGAGATGAGATGTGAGCGGCTGGGAGGTTGAGGACGGGGGGAAGTGTGCTAACGGGGATCTGTCTGAGTTCCAGGAGGGACAGACACACGAGACAGACGCGTGAGGGCTGCAGAGGCATGCAGAGGAAAGCGGTGGGCCCGGCCGGACGCTGCCACATCCTAGGAGGCCCTGTGCTTGGGAGCGTGAGGGGCTGGCTCACAGCCGGGCAGACAGAATGGGGCGCCCAGACGCAGGCGCAATGCAGCTCCAGTACATGACAATCACAGGGACCGGGGGCTGTTCTGTCGGTAGTGACGGCACAGCTGGTTTGGCACTTGGGAAGAGATAGTTAGATCCAAAACTAACACACACAAGAATGAACTCCGCGTGCATCAGAACCTAACTGCAAGGCAGGGGGCCACACAAGCCCCAGCAGCAGACAAAGCCTGGGAACAAGGACACTTTCTCCCTGTGACTTAAGACCCAGGTGCAGTTACAAAAGAGAGAAATTGATACGTTTGAACCATGGCAAGGTGGGCATTAACATGGCAAAAGGAGTCAACTCAGGGGGTCGAGGGTGGGGCTGGAGTGGACACGGTGGATGGACAGAGGCACGACAGGGGTGGGGGACATGCCACCACTCTGAGCCTGTAAAGAATTCAAAAAAACAACTGATAAAAACTGGGAGAAAGGGCCGGCCGAGTGGTGTGTTGGTTAAGAGCTGGCTTGGGATGCCAGAGGGCCCCGGTTCGGATCCCACATATGAGGGCCAGTGACACTGCC